CTGATTGGTAACTCTAAATTGTCCCTAGGTGTGAGCGAGAGAGTGAATGGTTGTTTGTCTCGTTTGTCTCTATGTGGCCCTGTGATGGACTTGCGACCCGTCCAGGGTGTCCCCCGCCCCTTGCACAGTAATTGCTGGACATGGGCACGGGCGACCCCTGTGACCCAAAATGGAATAAGCGGGTAAAGATAATGGATGGATGGATGGATAGGTCAAATGACAACATGATTGGGTATAAAAAGAGCTTCTCAGAGTGTCAGTGTCTCTCAGAAGCCAAGATGGTAAAAGGATCACCAATTCCACCATTGTTGCGCAGAAAGATAGTGCAGCAATACCAGAATGGTGTTACCCAGCGTAAAATAGCAAAGACTTTTAAGTTATCATCATCAACCGCGCATAACATCATCAAAAGATTCAGAGAATCTGGAACAATCGCTGTGCGTAAGGGTCAAGGCCGTAAAACTCTACTGGATGCTCATGATCTCCGGGCCCTTAAACGTCCCTGCATCTCAAACAGGAATGCCACTGTCAAGGAAATAACAGAATGGGCTCAGGAATACTTCCAGAAAGCATTGTCAGTGAAAACAATCCACCGTGCCATCCGCCGTTGCCAGCTGAAACTCTACAGTGCAAAGAAAAAAAAAAAAACTAGCAAGCTCCACAAGCTCAGATGTTTGCACTGGGCCAGGGGTCATTTAAAATGGAGTGTGGCAAAATGGAAGACTGTTCTGTGGTCAGATGAGTCACGATTTGAAGTTCTTTATGGAACACTGGGACGCCATGTCATCCGGACCAGAGAGGACAAGGATAGCCCAAGTTGTTATCAATGCTCCGTTCAGAAGCCTGCATCACTGATGGTATGGGGTTGCATGAGCGCTTGTGGCATGGGCAGTTTGCATGTCTGGAAAGGCACCATTAATGCAGAGAACTATGTTCAGGTTCTAGAACAACATATGCTCCCATCTAGACGTCATCTCTTTCAGGGAAGACCCTGCATTTTTCAACACCATAATGCCAGACCACATTCTGCAGCAATCACAACATCATGGCTACGTAGGAGAAGGATCCGGGTACTGAAATGGCCAGCCTGCAGTCCAGATCTTTCACCTATAGAGAACATTTGGCACATCAAAAAGAGGAAGGTGCGACAAAGTAGGCCCAAGACGATTGAACAGTTAGAGGCCTGTATTAGACATGAATGGGAGAGCATTCATATTTCTAAACTGGAGAAACTGGTCTCCTCTGTCCCCAGACGTCTGTTGAGTGTTGTAAGAAGAAGGGGGGATGCCACACAGTGGTAAAAATGGACTTGTCCCAACTTTTTTGGGATTTGTTGACGCCATGAAATTTGGAAACAACTAATTTTTCCCTTAAAATGAAACATTCTCTCAGTTTAAACTTTTGATCTGTGATTTGTGTTCTATTCTGAATAACATATTAGATGTTGGCACCTCCACATCATTTCATTCAGTTTTTATTCACAATTTGTTCAGTGTCCCAACTTTTTTGGAATCCGGTTTGCACTTATTTACCTTAGCAAGCAGGGAGAACGAATGAATCAGAACCATTAGAACTATCAGAACCATCTTTGACCAGAAGCACACCAAACTAGACTGATGGTTTGTACCTCCACTCCTTCCAGCTCCAGCGCTCCTCCTCGGTCCCTCTGAGCCCGAAGGTGTCTCGCTACATGTGTCAGTGTCTCCAGCGCCTCAGTGAGCTGAGTAAGCCTCATGGCCCTCTCCTCAGAGCTGAACCGGGCCAGCTCTGGTACCTCTGCCTCCTCCCCATTCAGCAGAGCCTGGGCCAGCTCGTAATGCAGCTGGTAGGAGGAGCGGATCAGCGTGCGACCGAACCACACGTTGGTGACAGTGAGCGTCTGGGCGTCGAGCTGCCACATGACGCTCATGGCGTACCTGAACACAAGAGGACAAGTGTCGGGCCGATGGAGCACTTGGACCTTCTGTGAGAAGACAAAGTGAGTCCACTGACCTGTCCACCCCTCCCAGCAGCGAGCAGAGGTCCGCGCTGAGGACAGCAGGCAGCATGTCGTATCTGCGGTCTGCTAGGTAGTATGTGGTGGCCCTGCAGCAGTGTAAAGGAGCAGTTATTGAGCAGAAGCAAATCATCAGAAGTTCTCCCTCCCTCTGACCGAGACTCACCCGAGGGACTCAGACAGCTCAAGTATGAAAAGAAGACACAAACTGTTTGGATCAAATCTTCTAAATAATCTTACATGTGCTGCGGCTCAGCTGCACCAACTTTATCATCTATAAAAAGTTAGGGTCGGTTCTGTGTTTGCTCAGGTCACTTAGCTGTGATGGCCATCTTGAACCGTGTTGACTCCAAACAGAATACACACACACACACACACAGACACACTCTCTCTCTCTCTCACCTGGTTCGGGCTTCCAGGTCAGTGAGCGACCCATCGGAGACAAAATGAGTGACGTCAGCGATGTGGACCCCCAGCTCCAGCTTCCCATTAGCAAGGCTGCACACTGACAGAGTGTCGTCCACATCCTCACAGCCCTGTGGGTCGATGCTGAACACCAGGTGAGTCTCCCTGAGGTCACGCCGCTTTGCCACCTGCTCCGGATCCACCTGCCACACTTTGTCTGGAGACGTCACTGGCATCTCTCTCAGCTGACCAACGGACAGAAAGATTAAGTTGTAAATAAACAAAATAAGTCAAATTAAACGAAAGTAAACATTGCAATTCTATCAGCATAGTTTACAAAACAAAACCTGCTATTTGAATGTGAAAATTTCGCAAAGACAAAAAAAAATACTTCTACATTCACAAGAGAAAGAACATTACATTTCAGTTCTGTGTGTCTGTTATCAGAACATACCAAAGTTTCTGCTCTATCAGCTGCTACGGTCTTCAAACGATTTGAACCCTGCAGCTAATACACTGCTGCGGATAATTTAGGTTTTGTATTGCTATTGTGATCATCGTGTGTTAGTTTGTGTTTATCATGTGTTAGTTTGTGATCATCGTGTGTTAGTTTGTGTTCATCGTGTGTTAGTTTGTGTTCATCGTGTGTTACTTTGTG